ATCATGGTCACCATCACCATTTATATAAAAATCATACTCATCTTTGCCTTCAAAATCATCTATAATATTTCAAATAGAGCTTGTGAAGAAGATGGTACACTATTATTACCAACATCAAGGCAAGGAGGATCAAACGAATGAAAATTTTATAAGTGCAAGCTAAGCCTTCTTCCTTCTTCCATTAGATCTATGTGATTGTTATTTGATAGAAATGAAGATTTAACAAAGTATTCTAGTAGTTGCGATTCAGAGAGGTCATCAACTTTTATATTTAAAATGTGTTCATATAGCTCTAGTCTAGTCAATAGATTTGAATATTGCAAATTTATATGCCATATTTGTTTTATGTCAGAATCATTCCATAACTTACATGCCTTGTATCTTGGCAGATTTATAGCTATTGGATATCTATATATTAGACTAGACACAATTTGCTTGGAAGAAAGCTCTAGTATTTGTCTAATATCTTGCTTTAGTCAGGCTAGAGTAATATTTACACCAATCTTTATTATTCTCTTATCATCAGATTCAAATGTCACACCATCTGAACCATTGAAAATTCGACCATTTACATATATGTACACTAGCTCTTTTCTATTGTTCATTTTCCCTATATATTAAGCAAATTTTTTATTAATCAAATTAATATCAAGGCACCAAAAAATAATCTAATCCCTACACAATAAATCAAGTATCAAAGCATTTTTTTAATAACATTCAAGCATCCACATTTTAACACATGATTAATTTATTTATTTATAAAATTATAACAGTAATTTATTTCATTTCCCTCTAAAATTATGTTTATATTTTTTTTTACCTTAATAATGATTAAAGGCCAAATCATCATTAAACAATTAAAATGTTTTTGAAAAATAATTTTTTAAAATACTATTTCATAATTACTTAGATAAGTTTCATATATATTTGAACTAATAATTTTAATTTTTTTAAAAAAATCACTTGTAAAAACATAGCTACTTGTTAAAGATGTCTACAATTTTTTTACCAAAAAATTATGTGTATATAAAATGGTTGGTGATTTTTTTCCCTGGATTTACTAAACATACATAAAATTATATTAATATATATTTTTATTAGTAAATATAATTATTAATTGTTTTAAAACACATCATTTATATCTCATAATTAATTGTAAATATTTTATTGTTGACCAAGTTTAATTAGCTTCATCAGCCACAAATATGGTCCACTTGTGAGAAGAGAATATGTATGTCATTAACTATATCTAATGTATTCATTTAATTCATATAAAATTAAGTGTGGGTCAGCAACATATAATAATTAATTAACACACTAACATTCATCTTCTTGGGCTTTGAATCTTTCGCTAAGTGTTTAATCAAATAGAAGCAAAATGGTTGAGAGTGAGAGGGAAAAGCAAAAAATGTGACTTTAGTTTTATAATTTTATTTTTTAAAATATGAAGGCATATAATTTAAATGATTAAATTGAAATGAATTGTGTCAAACCAAAATTTAAAGATTAAATTTCTATCAAGTGAAAATTATAATCATTAAGACACAACAAATGAAAATCTAAAAACTAAATTTGCAATCAAATTAAAACTACAGTCATAACATTATCAAACAACAATATAAGATTACAATAAGATAAATATTTACATGCATAAAAAAATTTTAAACATACATGAAAAATAAAACACTTTTTATCATAATCAAAATATTAAATCATATGATAGATGTACTTACCTTCTTCAATCTAGTGTCAAAATGAGTAAGATTTTTGAGAGGTAAGAAGAGACAAATGCAACACTTATTGAAAAAAGGAGCAAAGGAGAAGGAAGATGCAAATGCTAGAAGATGAAGAAAAGGAGAAGGATAATTCATGCAACAATTGTGTAACTTATATTTATTTTGAAAGCTTATTAACTGTGGACATGCATGATATGAAATAAGGGAAAGAAAAAACGCACATACTGATGAACAATATAGCACAAAAATATGTTCCATGAACCTATTTAATTCAAGACTTGATACTACATATATTTTCATACACGTCTTGTAGCGTAATGTCATATCTCAATAACAATATTAAAAAAAATTAAGGTAAAGTTGGCGGAGCACGCAGGAAGTGGAGCTTTTTTCCACTTATAACTGGGTATTGTAGAAGCCGAGTTGGAGAATATGTAGGCAGCCATCGATTTTCACAATTGCTTGTCCATGCATTTTCTTTTATATTTTCTGCCATTATATTATTTCACTTTTTTGACACGAAAAAGACAAAAAAAGGTACTACCATGTGAAATCTTTGTCTTTCTTTACCTTGTCTTGAATCCATCCTCCGTTATGCGTACTTTTTTGAGTTATAAAAGTAGGACCACATGAAGGAGAGAGAGAGAAGAGAAAAAGTGAGGAAGAATCTGACATATAAATTTACTAAGATAGAAATCAATTTTTGCACATAAAAAATGTAAGAAAATATTTAAAACTTGGTGTTTCTCAGGCCAACTTTTAACTTATAATATCTTGATAAATAATTTTTAAAATATAGTATTTTAAAAAAAAAATTTTTCCGTAGCACGATAGTCTATTTGCCATGAAATGACCGGAGGGGGCAATCGGTACTCCCATCATGCTGTATATATATGTAATAGAGGTAGTTAATGTACTGGCCAATGGCCAAGCTACTTTTTTTGTTTTTGTTTTTCTCCCCCCGACTTTAGTGTGGAGCCTTTTAATTTAGCGAAGTTACTTGCCTGCCTTTTTCTTCAAATGTTCCTTCTCCATGTCCTTACAAATTGCGTCTCTTTGTGAATTAAGCAATGACGTAGCCACTAAGCCGGCCAAGGCAATATTATCTCATCCTTGCTCCTAGGTTTGGTTGACTGATAGGGCATTGCTGTAATTACAGTACTGTCAAACACAGACTTCAAACTTCTAAAGTTCAATCAAACCCTGACAAAGCGCAATTGACTACATTTGCCATTAAATATCAAACACAGATTTTATTTTCTTCGCAACGCAGCAAAAAGATCATGATTTACAGTCTTTAACAATGAAAACAACTTATTTGTTAACGTCCAAATCTTAACATAATTTATGTAGAGAGATATTGAAAAATAGAAACAGTTGTCCATAGCCTAATAAAATATGAAAGAAAACTACAAAATGGGAAAAAAAAAGTCATGGAATTGGAAATGTATATTGCAGCGTTTTTTTTTAATAATTAGTGTAAGGCCGTATACATTTTATATTTCATTATATTTATGCTTTTTCAAATAATATACTTATTTTCTTAACATTTAAAACTTCATTAAAAATATTAAAATGTGCGTATATCAGAGATTACACAGAATTTAAAACGAGTAGCACTATTTATTATTCGTGAATCATGTGAACATTGAATAGATGATGGTGATATTAGAATGATGTATTGATTCCTACATCCACGTCAAAGGTAGCACCTAAATTTCAGTTTTTTCTTTTTTGACGCTCTGTTTTTTAAAAAAAACTTGTTGTTGTGTAAATAAAAATATATTGTTACCATGATAAATTTCAAGACGACTCGAGATTTGGGGCATTTTGGAGAGTTGAAATGTTGTTGGCCAAAAAAGAAAATGGAGGGTTGATATATTCCAGAGTGGAGTCCTTAAAGACATAACAGAGTCGTCAGGAGGTAATCGAACTGACGCAAACACAGCCTAATTGGATTGATTAATTAGTTGAAAAGTTTGAAGTTTGAAGAATCAGTGACAACTATGCTTGCACCAACGGCTTTATGCCTCCTTAGAAAAGCAAGATCTGTGAACAAATTAACTAGAGAGAAAAAGTTGCAAGTGTTCATATCTTAGACGATGTTTTTGATGCAATTAATAGTCAAAGTCAAAGAACGCAGCTCCAGGATTAAGCTCAAAAGTAATGTTACAAAATGTCTGACCGCCAGTGTAATCAATGAACTGCGAAGGTGATTTATGTCCGTAACCCTCCCTCTTCATCCACAATTTAAAGCGCCAACTTTGAATAATGTGACAGATCAACCAAATGTCTAACATTAGTTGAAGAGATTAGAAATTAAAAAGAAAAAGAAAAAGAGAGAAATGATCCAGGGTAACAATAAAGTGTCAGTTTCATATCCAATGTCTGCACCCTAACTGTTCCCATGGAATGAGAATGTTACTTGTTAATTATTATAACATTTGTAAACTATTGTTCCCATGAAAAACAGATTAATTATTGTTTCCCACAATAAAATTTATGATATTTTATAAATTTGTAAATTATTATAATTCAGAACATGTACAAGTGTGGTGACAAAATCTGAGGGATAGAAATGAGAATGTAAGGGATTGTTTGAAATTATTTTTATTTTATTATTTTAAAAACTGATGTTTTATAAAATATGTTCTGAAAACAAAAATAATAAAAATATATTTTTTTATTTTTCAGAATAATAATCTCAGAATACCTAAAAATTATTTTTATTTTTCTATTCTCTAAAATAATATTTTATTTTATTGTTCTCTAAAATATTTTTTAAAAATACATTATTAAATAGATTTTTTTATTATTTTATTTTAAAGAAGAAAACTATTTTCACAGAATAAGCTGTCAAACAGCTCCTAAAATGTTAATCTTATACTCCTCACTGTTCCCATGATTTACCACTATTTCATTTGATACCCAACGCTTTCGTTGGATTTGAATTTTTTTAAAAAAAAAAATAGACATTTTGTCCAATTTCCTGGAACCAAGTAAAAACAGTGTTGGTGGCCCCACTTGTTTTCCAATTCCATAGCCGAAAAGCACATCAGAAAGTGTGGGCGCACGAAGAGTCAAACGTATGACCCTCCATTCTCCATTGACCATTCACACGCACACGCGATTGCCTTGTTCGCGTTGCAAGTTGCAACTTTCCAGGCAAGCAGCACTCTCTTCATGCCTCTCACTGCCTTACACACGCTCTCTATAAATACCCCATCCCCTTCTCCACTTTTTCTCATCACTTGCGATTATGAAGAGAGCCAGAGAGCAGCAACACCCTCCTCACGCCTTGGATCTCGCTATTTCCCTCTCCCTTCTCCCTCCCCCAATCACGCCCCACAGCATGGAATTTGAATGCAAGACCTGCAACCGCAAGTTCTCTTCCTTTCAAGCTCTTGGAGGTCACAGAGCCAGCCACAAGAAGCCCAGGCTTGATTCCCAAGCCCAGCCCCACAAACCCGATCCCGCGAGATCGGTGCACGAGTGCTCTATTTGTGGCCAGCGATTCTCTCTGGGACAGGCCCTCGGAGGCCACATGCGAAAGCACAGAGCCGCCGTCACAGAGGAGGCCGTCCCCTGCTTGCCGGTTCTCAGGAGGTGCAACAGCAAGAGGGTGGTGTGCCTCGACTTGAACTTGACCCCTCTCCAGAATGACCTCAACCTCCTCTTCGGAGACAGGGCTCCTCAGCTCAATCTCTCCCTGTGCTCATGATCTCCTCCTGCTTCTCTCTTCTTTGTTTTCCCCTCCATTCTTTCATTCTTCTCTCTCTGTAAAATTATGCCCTCCTGGCCTTACTCTTTGTATTTTTATTGGAATTCTTTCATTTCTTTGTATCATGGTGTGTGGTTATAAGTTAATTACAACTTTGACCTCAGAAGTACGCAATATTATTTGACAGCATTTAAATTGGCCAAGCAGCACGATTCTTCTTTCCTCTTATATCCTCCGCGCGATTTAGAATTAACATTACACAACCAGTAATTAACTAGTTAAATTAAAACTCCACATGTGCCTCTAACTTCTGTTTCATGCAAGTTATAGACTATCATTTGCCTAATTGTCTTGCGCGCCCATTTTATCAAGACTATTCGCATTATATGGGGGAACATCAGTTGAGATGTGAATGTTATTCCCTTTATTTTAAATTATAAAGTACTTTTAGATATAATCTCATACGTAAAAAAAAAATTTTTAAAAATACTTAACAATTTTTTTTTAAAAATAAAAATATAAACTTTTCAAAATACTCATCATTTAATATATTAAAAAGAGAAGTGATAGAAATCAATTATAGAGAGAGAACATGTAATATTACAATTGATACATTTAATAAAATTATAATTTACTCAAAGTATCTTATATTTTAAGATAAAGAAACTCTTTCAAATGTGCCCTATAATTTAAGAGGAAGGAAATAATATTTTTTGTAAATATAAGGAATAGACTTCCCGATGCTAAAAAAAATATCTCCTTTAAAACATTGAGAGGAGTGCTTGGTATATTTTTTTCCTACTTAAATTGCCGTTATACAATATGAATCATCAATCACTTGATCAAATGACAAGAACCTCTATTATTCTTATAAAAAAAAGCCCATAAACCTTTAATTTGTGTTCATTGAGTTGGATCAATATTGAATAAATTACAAGAACTTTCAGGTCATCAAATTTTAATTTTTAAAATAATTAGGTTTGTGGAACTCAAAGCCAATTTAATTTGTTTTTCATATTCCGCTTCGAATTTTATATGCAAGACTTCTATGTATTTAAATAACACGCACATGTAGGCATATCACATAGGTATACATTTGAATTATTGGATGATCAAGGTGTGACGTGATTTCACCCTGAACTCTTTGATCCAAGAGAATGCTGCTGTTAGTCATCAGCACGACATTTTCTTGTTTTAAGTGCTAACTACTCAAAACGCAGACATTAATCGAATATTCACTAAATTTAAAACTTTGTCAGTCAATGAAATTCTCTACATAGTCTATTATGTACTACAAGCAGACCTTGATAATTTTTTACTGTCAGCCAAATAAATTGACTCGATCCTCATGTCAATCGTTTGAAAATGTAGTAAATTGTCTCAGACGTGGTTGGCTTACGCAGAATTATCCACGTTAGACTGAGGTTCGGGTACGTGTTTGGCCCCTCGTTATGGGCAATGGCCTATGGCCCCTCTGAAATCATTAAAGTTGTATTTAAATGAGTAAATTTGAATTAAAAATTTAGACTTAAAATCTCACATTTAAAATACATAAATTTTAAATTTTTTTATTTAAATGATATAAAAAATTTTAAATTATAATATTTGTATGAATCTTAAATAAAATTTTAAAATTCAAATTTTATGTTTGAATTTAGAGATAATTCAAACAATATTAACGGTCTGATTTTAATCAAAGTAGGTGATTCATTACCGATCAGGGGTGACGACCTTATCTCAACCAACTCTAGCAGTCCAAATCCAAATGATGTTAGTGATCCAATCTCGATTGGCAGTTTGATCCCAAACAACGACTAAGGATGAGCACAGGATGATTACAACAGTTTGAGTGTTGCGTATTGAATCTAGATGACAACAGTAGAACATTTCTCGTTAATAGCAGCGTTTGGCATTAGATGCTAAAGACAAACAAATTGAAGACGCTAACCACAAACCAATTCCTGATGGCGGTGGTAGCAACAACGACAAATTGACACTAGTTAAATGGGATGGACTGCACTGGACAGTGGTAGCAGACTCAAACCAGATCAAGGCACTAGGCCAGATCAAATGATGATAATGATGGCAAACTAGCATCAGGCAGTAGAGGTTGGTCTTGATCAATGTCAAAGATCTTGTCTTAGTCATCGCCAGCATTGTATGGAAACTCAGACCGGATTGGCCGGTTTAACCCGTGAACCAATGACATGGTCTCTTTTTTGGTCTGGATTTTCACCTAAATCGACCAGCCATTAACCTGGTGTGACCCGGGATCAATCTGAGATAACTCAATAGCTAGATTGCTGGGTTAGCTAGGTTAGTTTTTTATTTTTTTGTTTTTTTAAAATTGAAAAAACTAAATAAAAATAAAAAAATCAGCTTGAAAATTAAAAAAAACGAGACAATGGAGGGCAAGGCAATTACACTAGATTTTATTGTCTGTAATTTGAACTTTAATGAAGGGCCTTAACTGTAAGTTCAAACTTAAAATATTTAGTATTCTTTTAAGTTAATTGTGCCTTAATTATTTTAATCTTTCATTCTTTATTGTTGTTTATTTGTCTGATTGTTGGCTTAGCATTTATAAATTATGACTGTTATTGTTGATGATTTTAGTGTTAGTGATGATTAGTTTTGAACTTTTTAATGATTGAAAAGTTGTAAATTATAATTATAATAATGAATATTTAGAAAGTTATATTTTATTATTGTTAGACTTTTAGGTGGTTGTAGTTTTATAATTATTGTTGTATTTGTATCGTATATTAGAGATTAATCTTGGATTTGGTTGAATATTTTCATAGTTAATGTCTTTTTATTTAAACTGTATTTTTTTAATTATGATCGGTTTGTCCTCCGGTTTAACCCAGGTTGAACTATTAACCCGTAACCTGTTGGCTTGATCGGTTCAATGATTGGTCCAATTTTTGGTACCTTTGTTGCTAGTGATACTGTCCTAGTCAAAGCCAACAGTCCGATTTGAGTAAGGGCTAGCCATCTACTCTGGATCTGCCTTGGTTGAAGTCGACAATCTATTCTCGATCGTCACCAATGGTTTAGTCCTAATCATTTTCAACTGTCTTATCCCTATCAACGTAGGCTGTTAGGTCTTGATGGACATCAATTATCTAATCCTAGTTGTGGTTAGCAGTTTGGTCCCAGTCATTTCCAACGATCTGATTGTTGACAACGTAAGCTGTTGGGTCCTGGTGGATGTTAGCTATTCAATCTTGGTTGTTGCCAATAGTTAGATCTCAATCAACGCTGACATTTCAATCTCGATCATTGCCTACGATCCCGATGGATGTCGGCTAGACATAGCAATGTCAAAATCAAGAAGGCGACGAAGTCAAATAACAAACATGATTGAAAAGAGAGGCTTCCATTAAAATTTAAAATGATAGAGATTTATAAAAGATTTGAAATTATAAATAGATTGAGGTAAAATTTAAATTTGAGTTAAATTCAAAACCACATAATTTTAATTACTGAAATAATAAATTTAGCTCACGTCCAAATACACATACAGTCAAATATAATATAAATTATTAATAGCGAAATAAGCATGTGCATTTTTTTTTTTGGGTTTAAAAATATGATTGACTTGCATCATTTAATCCAAATAAATGTCGCATGCATTATTAAGCCTATTATAATATAGACTATAGAGTAACATGTTAAAAAGCAGTGAGAATTAGTTACGCTATGGTACCTAAATTGGCTTGCATGAAGAACAAGTGTAATACCTTGACCCCAGGAGTGATGTAATCGTGTTGTGTGTAACATATCATGACAATCCCGTTTTTGCCGCTGTATTTCATAATTGCGGTGTCTGCTTTCAAACCGCTTAATCAGTCAATCCTCCCTTCTGCTGCCGTCTCAATCTTATTACAGCCTTTTCATAGTTTGTTCTTTCTTTCTTTTTTTTTTTTTAATGACAAATGGGTATTTTCATAGTATATTCTTGAACAACATAAAACGCGTGCGTGTCTATTTGAATTTTAATTAGATATAATAGATTATAAAAAATAATTAATTAAGTAATAAATTTTAATCATAATTAATTATGTTATAACATAATTTGTTTGGATGCTAAATTTTTAAAATTAATTTTAACAGAATTAAAAACATTTGAATAATTTCTTTAGAATCAATTTTAACTGTATAAATTATCATAAAGGATATTACTTTTTAAAATTAAATTATTGATAAATTTGTATCTAATATTATTAAAGTTGTTTCATTTTATTTAAGAAGTAAAATATATTATTTAAACTACATATATGATTAATTATAAAAATTTAAATTATATTAATATTAAAAATTTAATTTACGTAAATAAATAACTCAATATATCTTAGTTCAAATAAATTTAATAAAAGAAAAATATTTAATTCTTAAATACCAAATATCAATTTTATAATAACTAATGAAGATGATAGTGTACAAATTGATCTCTAATGATATTATGAGTATGAGCCATGTCTGACAAAAATGTTAAGTACTGCCTTAAAATTTTGGCAACATAGAAAATGTAGCACTGTTACAAATGATGCAAAATCTCTCTCTCTCTATAGAACTTTACAACAATCTTTGTCGTAACTCTAAATTTTAAATTAATTTTCCTCTACTAATTAATATTTTACTTGAATTAGTTTTATAGTAAATGTTAAGTGAAAGGTAATGGTTGACAGGAACTTATGATAGCAACTTTTTTGAGGATATAAAGTTTAAATTTTATTAAAAAAAAGAAAAAGAGTTTGGTTTTATTTTTATTAAATTATGTGCTTTCTTTATAATTTTTTCTTGAGCCTTTTTTTATAATTTTTTTAACATATTTTATTAGCTTTTTCGCAAAACCTCAGTTTCTCAACTTTCAAAAAAAAAAATTTTTGGCCCAAAAATGGATTCACCACAAATAATCAATTAAACATGTTATCCAAATACACGCTGCATCTATTTGGAAAAGCGCATCACACAATTTGATTGCGATTACACGGGGCTGAATGTTATTTGGTATTTGGATTGATGAATTTATATTTCTATTTTAAATTTAAAATCTTGCATTTGAAATTTATATATTTAAAATTATTTATTTGATAAATTTAAAAAAATTTAAATGAAGAAGAGAAATAAATTAAGATTTAAAACAAAAACAAAAGATTAGAAATGAAAAATTTAATTTAATTTTTTAATTGACAAAAGATAAAAAAAGATATGAGAATTATTGAGGTATCAACAATGAAAATATGAAGAAAATAATATGTTTGAAGTGATTAGAATTTTAAATAATTAAATGTAAATGAAATTTAAAATTATAAAGAAATTATAATTTAAAATAGATTTAAATTTAAATTAAATCTAAATCCTCATTAATCCAGGCATCTCAATGTTCATAGTAAATCATTATTTTAGCTACTGATGAACACTATCATATAACACAACTTGGATTTCTAACGACTTCAAAATCGCTGAAAAACTAACTTGATAAAATAATAAATTTGTAATACGGCCTCAAGTTACTGACATTAAGACTAAATTAATGATAATGACATGATATTGTTTGAACTTGAAGACCGTCTCACACGTAATGAGGATATTTTCACAGGGCACCATTGCGAAGAAGCTTGCAATATTAACCCCTTGAGAGCTATGGAAGTTTGATGGAACGTGACGCTGCAGTTTCTAACAAGTGAGCCATTTTAGGTTTAGGAGATTACGGGGGCTGGTTCTCTGGGTGACTCAGCCATTATCCCTGATTTTGTTTAACACTTTCCATGGGAAACTAAACGCAAATGGAGACCAGAGAGAGAGAGAGAGAGAGAGACTCAAATAATATCATGTTGAAGTTGAATGCTTCCTCGGATTACATTGGCTGCCATACCTAACCATGGTAAGTCGATTCACACTAATGTCGACATCCAGGCTTGAAAAGCCCAGCAGAAGCAGAGGCGCGTAGTTGAGTGTGAAGAGGGAAATTAGATTTATTTAATTAATTAATAATTAATTACTATTGGAACGCGCCCATCCACACGCAGACTGCTAACAGAGCAGTTAATGCGCGCGTGTATTCTCAATTAAGCACACCAGATTAGTACTTGTAAATGTCAAAGCCCAAGCTGTTGTTATGGAACTTGAATGAATTGGTGTCCGAAAGCGACGAGGTTTCTCACCGAGCATCGAAGTTTCGGAAAGACATACTCAACTCTTCACACTAGTAGCTCACGGAAACAACAGTTTTGGTCCCACGCGCTCCTTCTAGACGCGAGCGTAAGCCCCACGTGATCGAAATTCCCTGGGTCAACATGAAGGGACGGTCATTCATTCACGAACAACATTCCATTCCAAGGGGCATTCTCGTCCTCACGTAAAGCCCCCCCTGCCACGTTCGCAGCATCGTTTGAACGGAGACGGACAGGACAGCCTCCGAAACTTAAACCAGTCAAACACTCCTTGACTACGTACTCTTCTTAACTATTACCGTTTATATATAGCTGTCCACCTCTCAAGTTCTGCTCACACATTACAATACAGTGCATATCGAATCTCATTCTCACAGACATAAATTAACGCAGAGATTTGAAGGCATGAAGAGGGAGAGAGATTGCGAGAGAATGGACGTGGCCAATTGTCTGATGCTGCTGTCTCACCATGCTCGTCAAGAAACAAAAGCTGAGGGTTTAGAATTCGAATGCAAGACGTGCAAGCGAAAGTTCTCGTCGTTTCAGGCTCTGGGAGGGCACAGGGCGAGCCACAAGAGGGCTAAGTTGGAGGGTGGCGAACAAGACTTGAAAGCAGAGGCCAAATCTCTGAGGTTAGGGAACAAACCCAGGATGCACGAGTGCTCCGTCTGTGGCATGGAATTCTCGCTGGGCCAAGCACTCGGAGGCCACATGAGGAAGCACAGGGCTGCTCTTCACCATGATACGCACCCAGTGGACGACGTCGTTGCCAGGGTCCCTGTTCTTAAGCGATCCAATAGCACCAGGGTTCTGTGTTTGGATCTTAACTTGACGCCTCTCCAGAATGACTTGAATTTATTGCTCGCAAACATGGCACCCGCCTTCACCTGATACATTTGCCTTTGTGTTTAACCTTGTTCTGTATTCTTTCAATTCTTTACCTCACAGTTTTGTTCCATGAAAATAGTTTAGATGTTAGATCTTGCACTCTATTTTAACCATATTTTAATGTTTGAGGAGATTCACCTTCGACAGCAATAATCCCTTTTAATTTGTTGATAATTTTCTGTACTATAATTCTTCGTTCTTTTCGTTTTCTATCACATTAACATTAAAGAGGCCGATTATATTTAGGCTCAGTGGCTTCTATATACAGTAACTCTATGGTCAATATGTATGAACGGGAACGTTCAATTCAATTGTAGGTAACTTGCCGCCAGCGTGCGTTTTCATGAAACAAAGATGATAGAATGGTTGAAATTTTGAAAGAGAACGAGTTCAATTGTTATTCGTGCAGTTCTTAACGTGGTTAATTCCGTGGGAACAGAACACTGGCAACAATTTTTTTTTTTTTGGACCAACAGAACACTGGCAATATTGAACAGGAGTGTTATTTCATTGACATGTCAAGAACAGGTCCGCTTCGGTGCTCATCTTCCTTTCGACTTTCGGCCATTGACATTTATACGCGCACAAGATCCAATAGTTACGTATATACGCGTTTCCTCGGGGCTAAACCTTAATACGCGTTTTGGGCGTACTTTTTTCGATTCTGCGCGTCATACAGGGTATGTGTTATGGGCGTCCGGCCTGCTTTTACTTGGGCTATCTTTTACTGGGTCCAAATAAAATGCATTAAATTGGGCTTCTGCCCTCTTTTGTACAAACAAGGCTTTAAATTGGGCTGGCTTTGTTTATAAAAACAGAAAGCCCTGTAATTCCTCAGCAGCAACTAAAAATGGAAAGATCCATGAAGGATGGAAGCAAAAAGAGAACCATGTCATTGTCAAAATAATTAGTTACACCGTCATCGAGGACAAAAAAATTGCAATTCAAATTCTTGTCCCTGACGCAATATTGCTTCAGTGTATACGACTGGAGCACCTTAATTCCCAACGGCAACAAGCACGTATATATGTCAGTGCTACAACATGAATAGATTCCACCAACATTAATAATTGTAGTTTAAAAAAGGGGAAAATGCGTCACTGATAACTGTGTTAGTGTAGTTGCTTCATATTTATAATTTTATTAATTAAAAATGGAAAGATGCTTGTTGAGTTATGAAAGGGCTGATTGGTCAACAGTTACATATGTACAGTATTTATATAATACAACTTGAGCATCTACGGTGACGCGTGCAATAATAATTAAGGTATTAATCTTTGTCACGTGCAAGTAGGCCTTCAAGAAAGTTCAATTATCAGGCACGAATAATCTTACAATCAACTTTCTGATACAAGGGTGCTTTATCACGTATATGTGCATGCAGGCTTGGTCTTTTGAGCATATGTTTCCCCCTCAGATGAACGGAACGGAAACAGATCATGTGTCCTGGCAATATTCATGGCGGTTCTCAGAACATGAAAGCTTTAACTATGATAAGACATGCGTGGTCCATTGGAACCTAATATCATATTTCATAACACAGTTGCTATTTCTTTCTTTGTTTTTGGTTCTTTTTTCTTGACAAAAGGTTCCATCATCATAACGTCGAAACGTTCGTTTGGCGTATATGATTATGACACTGAGCTCAACTTCATGTCTATCAAGACCATTAATGATCATACAGAGGTTTGATTTCTTATGAGTTTAAATATTTAGAATAGTTATCATGCATAGACGCAATCCATGAGCTTTTCCATCATGACCATCGACCCTAATTAACATTTAATCTATAGACAGGCATTTCACTCCATCACACGACTTTTATAAAAGGATTTATTTTTTTTTAATTCTAAGCGAAGATTGGAAGCGAGTTTAATCTGATATATATATATATATATATGTATGTATGTATGTATATTATATTCACATGTATAAGTAATCAGGTGAGATGATGAAACCCAAATAATTGCCTTAACTGATAGCGGACCCGCACGCAGCAGCTTGGAAATAAAATGGTGATCATAATTAGTGCTTCTTTTTAAAAATTAGCAAGTGGCGAGGAAGCTGATCGATTGAATGTGTTGACATGCTGAACCAAATAATATACGGCCATAATCACAATAACTTAAGTCATGCATGAAGTCAATGTTATTGTCTATAATACAGGGGAAATAAATAAACATTGGTTGGTCTTTATCAGTTTTACAAACCCTCAGAAACGTTCAAGCGAATACATCCAGAAGATAAAGACGTTTCGATTTCACGTTGCATTAAACGCATCGATACCAAAATGCTCATGGTATATATTCAACAGAAATTAAAGACTGTATGGCAGAGTGATGCCTGTAAATGTTTCCTTTGTGAATGCTTTATTTTGTTTTCCCCCCCTAATTATGTCATGTATTCCTCCGCAGAGACATCATTGAATAATCGATCGTGCCGCATATACAGTTATGGACCACATGATAATTTCCCCAAATTAAATCTCTCTATAAGTCAACCTTTACAACAGTACCCACACCTACAATTATATACTTCTATGTCCTGCAATTTCCATGTTTTACTCCCGGACGTTTGTATGGGCTATATGTATATAGAAATCTAATCTAATGGCAGTTAGTCTTTATATAATTGTACCATAAATTAATGGTGATGTTAAGCTGGCATGCTCTAAGAATTGATATCCACGCATGCAAGTGGCAAATGTTCCGGTCATCCAAGTTCTCTGGAACAATCCAACCACTGAAACTGTTGTACATAATGATATCATCAAGTTCTCTGGATTCTATGCTTTTGGATTTTCTGCAGAGTATAAATATGCTGAGTTTTGCAATTTCATTAACGTTTTAAATTCATGGGTGGTAAAATTTTCTTACGTGTGTAAGAATCATATTTGTAGAATAATCAAAGTTTATTTTTTATTGGTTAGTGCTCGGCTTATTTAGTAGTGATAGCTATTATGAATTATTCGTCTCCAGTCTTGGTATTCAGATTATAAAACTCATTGATTGCTCGAAGCAATGCCATGCATACAATGTTGGACAATTATTACAACTGACTTACTGTGATCATTTGGTGGTCAACGAGCTAGGTTTAGGAGATTTGTCTAGAGCCTATGGCCCAATATTAAAAATACGTTTTGTTATGAATTTCATTGACTCGTCCACGTACTATTGTGCTGGACAGAAGGAAATACTAGATCAGTCTGTTTGAAGCTTCAAACACATGCCAGTTAGTGTTATCATTATTATTATCATTACTGCTACGATCACTACTATTATTTTTACTACTATTTATATTATTATGCCTCAATGATATGTTCATTACCTTTAAGACCCTGAAGCTATGTGATTAGTACAAATGGAAGTAATATCTTAATTTGACCAGACAATATATTTCTATATTAATTCGAGGATTCGTTTTTATAAATTGATTCTACTTGTTATATTTAGTGTGTGTGTGTGTGTTTGTCTGAATTAATGGCCAACTATTGGAGCGTGAAAGCCCCGCGTGTCTAATTTATTTGAAAAGTTATCGCACTTTTTACGTTGTTAACCATTGAAGCGAATTGATTATTAATTGATCAATATAATTAAAACTATAATTTCCCATTCTGTTAATTAATGTCTCTATTAGTTTCGGCCTTTAATTTAAACAGGCAGTATTGTGTTATAAAAACCTCACTTAAATTACATTTCCCCACTGTGACTCGAGAGATGACTTTGGAGTGGTATGGAGCTTAAGGAGTAAACTTCTGCATTTGGCAATGTAACATCCTGATTTTTTATATAATAAAGAAATTGTGGAATTTAGGTTTTGAGAAAAAAAAATGATAATAATAGGAATTTATATTATTTGAGGTTATTTAGAAATAATATTATGGTTAGGTATTTAATTATGAATTTAAAAATTTAAATTTAAAACCACATAAGCAATATTTAGTTAAGATATAATACATAAATAATTTTTTTTATGTATGTGTTGAAAAAAAAAGAGAGAAAAGGTAGAAGGAACAAAAAAAAGGGGGTGGAAGGTTGTTGTTTCTAAGTCCCACATTGGTTAGATGAGGGAAGAGAAGAGGTGCCTTCATGTCTAAAAAGGAGGGGGTGTGTGCATTAGGAAGCATGAGAGGCTAAGATGCAATTTAGAGAAAATTGCAACTTTTGGCCTAAAGGTTTGAATAATTAAATTCAAACCTATAGTTTTTTTTAATATAATTTTGGGACTTACAATCCCATTTTTATATTATTTTTCTCTCTTCCTCTCACGTTGCTCGGCGTTTTCTCGCAAGGGGGGATTATTTTCTTTTTCTTCAGGTATGTTCTAACTTTCCTGTTTGGATTAGTATTTAAAAATTTATTTAATTACAAAATTAATTTTATAGTTATTTTCTAAATAATATTAGCTTTCTAGTGATATGATTATTTTGTAGGATAGAGTAAATATTTTGATTAGGATTTTTCTATAGGATAGTTAATCTGATGATATGATGGATTAAAAATATAGGTTAAAATTCTTAGGGATATAATAAATATTATAGAATATTTTCTTGAGGTTGAAACTCATGTTTAAGAATTTTTGAGTTAAAATCTAGATCTATATGGTTGAATTTAAGTGGAATCTGAGACGTAGGGATAAACCTATGATTATTAAATATTTATTTAAGTATGAATAGGTATTTTTGAGGTTATAGAAAGGTGATTTGAGGCTTCAGAATAATTCTAAAATTTTTAATTTATTTTTGGATGAATTTTTAGAATGTAGAAGGATGAAATTGTGATACTAGAAGTGAATTGAGGATAAAAAAAATAGTTCATTAGGGTACGAGAATTTTAGAAAAGAATTTGAGAAGTTAAATGAGGCATAAATCTTAAATTAGTGTTAATATGGATTATAGATTTAAGACTTTCTAACTCTTTAAATTAGAGTTATTTATTTTAATGTAAAATTAATATATAGTATTGTGAAATAATTATGTAGATTATATTGACAAAGATAGTGGTGAAAAAGGAGTTGTGAAGGGGAACTTGTTATTCAAGACACAAGGTAACCATTATTAATGTGTTGTTTTGTGAATGGTTATGTGTTGTTTTGTTGTT